TATAAAATAAAATACATGTATCTAATTAAAATATAATGCATGACAGCTATAAAGTTAACAATAAAATAATTCATAAATAAAATAGCATTATTAATAACAAGTATATTAAAATAGAAACTAGTAAAATTAACAAAGGTTATTTTGAGTGGTAAGTGGTTCGATATTTCTTAAGTAAAGTTTTAGGTTTGAGTTTTTATGTATATAAAAAAATCTTTAGTAGTAGACTCACCTACCAATTACGTTCGACTCAGGTCAGATTTAGATTAAATCGAATGAAAAATAAAAAAATAAAAAATAAAAACTAGTCGAATACATCATGTGATATATTTTCTTTTGTGACTTTATCAACCATAATATCAATGAAAGCCTTAACAATGGAATCAAGCCAAAGCTTTGACTCATTTTTATCGACATTAGTTGTCATCTATCATAAATGAATATTAAAAATAAGTAAACATCAATGTGTACAGAACTAAAAGAAAAATATATAAAAGAGGGTAAATATATAACAAAAATCTAAACACAATTTAATTTATGTTAAATAAATTTCTCAATTTATAAAATAAATAGTATAAAACTTATGTAAAAATTTGTTTTGGTCTATGTTTTTATTTATGTATGATATATAACTTTTTTGTTATTTCTTTTGCTTCCATCTTTATCTTTGATACATTAGCAATGTTTTTTAATTTTCTTTTTATTATCCTATGATGATTGATGAAGACAACAAATACTCTCATCAGCAAAAAGATAACACAAAAGGGAAAAGATACACATATTCATTTTATGTCTTCTAGTTTCTCTCTTTTTCAACACTAACCATACCTGATTATTTAATTAGTCATTCATCTTTCTAACTTCCAAGTGATAAGTATTTGTTACCATAAAACATATACTTAACTTAAAAGACTATCTATCTTATAATATAAAGCTACTATAAGAATAAAAATAAGATTAAACTACTATTTTTGTTCTTCATACAAAGAAGTATCATGACTCTAATCCTTAAAACATTCTTCCAACCACTTTAATATATCAATAATTGGAAGTATCATAAAATTAGTCATCTGAATGACAAAAAGAAATGACTACATTATAGTCTTAATCTAGGAAAAAATTTGTATCATAGGGTGACTACAATTTACATTATTGGGGGCTAAATGAAGATCATTACAGCCTTGTTAAATCAACACATGTGCTCTTCTTATGCATTTGTAGGACAAGACTTTACCATGTTATATATTATTCATCAACACATTGTTCGATTATTATGGCATAGGCTTTTGCTCATGGCACTAAATTTTATTAAGTATAGATTACAGTCCAAAAATAAAATGAAGATAAAATATGGAATGAATGTTAGCCGTAAAAAAGTTATGATATTGCATCTAAGCTAAGCTAACCTCTTTGTGGGTTACATACATTGAGACTTCGTATCTATAACGATGTCATGCTTACTTTTAGTACTCTAAAGAAACTAATCTTTATTGGACCTATATTTTCCAATGAATAAACTTTTTAGGACAAAATTCATGTCTAGGTTTACTCAGAAACTAACCATCCACTACCAAAGAGTTGAATGCCCAATCCCAATTTTGGAAAGCATACACATTCTACATTATTACTTCTATAGTTTATCAAATTTCATCATGCATCCATTTTATTGATACCCATATTAAAAGGGTAAACTCTCACATTAGTTCATGAGATATGTAACTTGACTAAAGTCTTTGATTAAAGTCTAAATACAAATATTTAATAATAAGGGTCTAATTGCAATTCTATATATAAGATTCAGTAATTCTGTCTCATTTTTAAAAATTATAAAAAATAAAAAAAAATTAAATTTAGCGATATATATATACATTTTAACATCTAGATGTATAGAATCTAATACAATTATATTAATAAAAAATAATATCTATAGAAAAAGTTATAATAAAAATAATAATTAAAAATTAAAATAACTAAAAATACGAAATTAAAATATTTTATTTATAATAAACTCAATTTATTTTAATAATTTAAAAAATGATAAAAACTTTAAAAATAAAATATATAAAAAATATTTAAAAGTAAAAATAAAATTATAAATAATATTACATTTCTAACAATTTTTTATTATCATTTTTTCCTTTCTTCTTGCAATCAGATTAGTAACGAAGAATGGATCCAGAATGCACATGGTCAAGATTCTATATGCATTCGGAACGATGTCTTAAGGCCCCAACATTTTAATATATTTTACAGAATTTTAAAATCTAGATTTATCACTGTGTGATTGGAATTTTGATTTGTAATTTCCCTATAATATGCAAGCTCATTTGTTTTTGGGTATAATTTGTTTTGTTGCAAACTTTCATCAACAATGTGGATTTGCACCAGCTTTCATCAACAATGTTTTCATTTTAATTAAATATCCAAGCCCATAAGTGGATTTGCACCAGCTTTCATCAACAATGTTTTCGTTTTAAGTGAAGGTGTCCCTTTCAATTATATTTAATATGTATTTTAGAAACGAGTGCACAATAAAGAAAGTAACAGATAAAAATGATAACATATAAAATTATATATGATATTATTTCAATCCCAACAGTCGATTTTCAGCAGATTTGGTTAGAAAAATGAAAAAGGAGCATATTGTGTCAGCTGGAGTTGGTGAGGGGATATATAATAACAAAAGTAATTTAGTAACGCGACCTTAGTTTAATAATTAAAAAATTATATTTTTAAATAATTATATATATAATAAAATTATTTTAAATAATAATTTTGTAAAAAATTGTTTTAATTAAACAATAAATAAGATTTTAAAATATAAAATAAAATAAATTTAAAATATAATTTATTTTAAAAATAATATTTTTATTATATATTGTCAACAAAACTTTTTAATTAAATTTTAATAATTAATATATATTAATAATCATAAAATTTTAAGAATAGAATTCCGAAAAGGTTTAAATTATAAAAATTTAAATATAAATTAAATTTTTTATAAATATAGAAATAAGTATTTTTAATAAATATAAAAACTTTTATATAAAATAAGAAAAGAAAGCTAAATAATAACTTTAATATTTATAATTTAAAACAGAGACATAGTTAAAAACTAAACTATTATTTTAAAAAAGAGTGTAATTTACACATTTTTTCAATCAATTTTAATCACAAGAATAGCTAGCCTAGCTTCACTAATTCTTAACTTCACAATATTGAATTCTCATTTATATTATAAACGTTAATATATCAAGTCATAAAGAATGTCTCTGCCTTATTATTTTACAAGAAATTATATTTATATTATAAAAAATATAAAAATAAAATGATTTTCTTACATTTATTTTAAGATACGTAATAACATATTACAGAGTTAAAAAAAAAAGGTATAATATTTACTTTTTATAAAAGGTGCTATTTCTTAATCCTTTAACATGTGTTAAAAGAATTGAAGATAAACATATGCTATTTTGAGTTCTATTCATAGAAAATTATTATTACTCTGCTTGGTCCTTATAATACATTTTTTAGTTTCAATTAAGCCTTTATTTTTTGTTGTTTTCAATTATAATATCAGTAAGGATAATTTTTTGACTGTGTGGATAGATTTAATGATATTTAATAAAGATAAGATTATTATGTTATAATATTTATTTTAAAAAAATCAACTTTAGTTATTTTTATTGGTTTGCATAATTTAGTTGGAGGAATTTTAGAGAGAGTAATATTTTTATTTTAATTATAAAAAATTTATTTTTAATTATTTATAAATTGTTTTAATAATCTTATTTATTGTGAGATTTATATTAACGGGTTACTTATTTTTAATTCACATAAGTGGATAAATTTATTTATTTCTTTAAGATTTGATCTATTAATATTATGGATTATTTTGAAATAAAATATAAGATTATAGTATATAACTATTTTTATTGGTCTTATTCAATTAAGTATTTGTTTTTTCATAATATGTTACTAAATAAATAACATCATGAAGAAAAAATTATATTAATTATTCTATAAATATGATATTTTTTAATTTATATGATGTCAATAATGTTAAGAACATCATTTAAAAATTAATAAAACATTATTAATTATAATAAAATTACAATGAAAATTTAATAGAATTGTATTTATAATATTTTTTATAAAGTTATTTATCGATATAATCATATTTTGGAATTTCAAATAATCGTGTTATAGAAAATATTAGTGCAATTTTTTTATATATAAAACAAAATGAAGAGGAAGTAAATATGCAATAAGATAGTTAATGAAAGTAGTCTATTTTATCTTTAGAAAAGTGCAAGTGATACAATTTATAATATTTTTTAACATATTTTTATTATTATCTAAATTTTTTAAAATTACAAAAATATAATAGAAATTATTAAATTAAGAGTATATTTCACGCATTTTTCTATTATTGAGAGTATTGCTAGTATTTGTCTCGTACGTTAACTATCTTATTGGTACAGGTAATATTGTAAGATAGTAAATTAATGTTATAGATAAAAATAGAAAAAATTGTAAAATATAAAAGAAATGTGTTTATACATTAATTTTGTAGTTTTCTTTACAAACTAAGAAGAGACAGGAAAAGAAAACGAGAAGTACGAGACACAAGGAAAATGAAAAATACTATATAAAAAAAGATTGATTTGAAAAAATTATAAAATATGTTATAAAAGAATAGTAGTATATACAACTCCTCATATTGTGATCAACAAAATCAGGTTATACCGAATAACTATTTCAGCAATGTTATATAACGCAAGCAATGAAGCACTGGATAATAACGAGCAGGGGAGGATACAATCCTGCAGTACAAGACCATTGGTAGTGGAAATCTCTCACGGAAAAGCCACGAGAGAAACCAGAAACATAAAACGAAACCACAATAAAAGCAAACCAAGGGGATAAGAAACACACATACAGTGTCACAGAAGTTTGGCCTCTTCATTATCGCTTCTTCGAAATTTATCACAAGATCCTTAAACAAGACAATATTTTAGTAGATTCTGAGAACCAAATCATCAACGAGATTATCATTTCGACAGGGTTCCAAGGTAGTACAACAACTCATCAATATACCTTTCTTGTCTTTCCTTATTGACAAATAAATCCTTCACCTCTTTAATCTTTTCCCTATAGATCCTTCCCTCTTCTTCAACCATAACCAGCCTCACCGAGTCAGCGACCGTGTCACTCGTGAACGATCCATCTCGCTCGTTCCTGGGCACCGTGTACCCCATCTTCTTCTCCTCTAGTACCCTTGCGTTCAATCCATGGTCCGCAAGAAACGTTAAGAGAATCAACGGCTTCTCTGTCTGAACAGCCTCCACAACAGAGGAACAACCGGCGTGAGTCAAGAATCCACCAACAGCCACGTGGCTCAATATTTTCAGTTGTGGGGCCCAGGTGGTGCACACCACTCCACGCCCTTGGGTTCGCTCCTCGAACCCTTCCGGTAACCGCAGCACATCTGGGTCGCAAGGGCCACGTTGAAGCCTCAAAGTCCAGAAAAATGGAAGCTTCGATTTCTCCAACCCAAGAGCTATCTCATTGACTTCTGCTTGATTCGGTTTCATTTCACTTCCAAACGCCACGTACACCACACTGCCCCGCGCTTGTTTGTTAAACCAATCTTTCATACACTGCCACGTGTCATTCTTGTCGCCGTCGTCAAACCCTGTGCTGGGTAATTGACCAACTGGGAGAACCGGTTTCTGGTAAATGTTCTCCAGCACTTGAAACCACTCCGGCTCGAACTTGGTGCACCCTCTAACTACCAGGAAATCACAGTTTTGGATACTTATAGCGTACCTGTCCATGTCTGCAACACCCGAGGCATTGGGGGAGACTGAGTCGAAAGACCGCTTCATTTCAAATAAATGACATGCAACGGTGGTCGGAAAAGGGACCCATGGCGGAGGAAAGGTGAAGTCTTCAAGTTTTGTTCGGGAATATGGCTCAGCACCCAAGATGTGCGAAGGGGATCCCATGAATCCCATACAAGGAGCAGTAAAAATGCTGTAAAACACGCTCTTTATACCCATTCTGGAAGCCACAGAGCCCGCCCAGAAGGCAGCGAAGTCGTTGAACATCCAATCAGCTTTGGAAGATTCGAGAAAACGGGTCAACGGCTCTTGGAGGCCATCGTAGGCTTGTTTTAGGAATGGAACGACGTCGTATGGAACATCGGTTGTGGCCTCTGCATTTTCTGGGAGGTTTTCTACTTTGGGCAGTGGAAGATTCACGAATTTGATGAGAGGAGCTAAGTTTGGTGGGAGTTTGGAAAGGCGTTGTATGTTCCTTGGGGTGGATACGAAACTAACGCGGTGACCCCTTTGAGCTATGAGTTTGGCCAACTCAAGGTATGGGAGTATGTGACCAAAGGCTAGCCATGGGAACATCACTATGTGAAGAAGCTTTTCTTCTTCATTTCTTGCCATAACGTAGCAATGAAAGTAGAAGCCAAAGAAAAGTACTAATTTTGGTTTATGAGCAGGTCTGTGATCTCGCTTTGGAAGATAGATTTAAATATTAATGCGGTCGAAAAGCTGCATTAACTAAATCATTACACTCACTGGCGCCCACAGACAATCAAACATTACACGCACGTGTACAAGCGCATAATTAAATATTACAAACATGCATTAAGCACGTACATATACACAATTAAATATTTCGAGGTTTTAAGGCAAAGGCAGAAGGTTATTAATTAAAATGTTTCTAGGCCTTGTCGTGATGGATAAGTCATGACACTATTACTCTTTTAATATTTATTATACTACTTCGTATGAGAAATTAAGCTTATCGATTTAATTTAATTTTTTAAATAAATAAATTTTATAATAAGTGAAAATAATAAAAATTTTATTCAAATTATTTCTAATACATAGTTTTAATAAAATATTTTAAAATAAAGATAAATTATAAATTTGAATCAATCATTACTATAGGATTTAATTAATATATTTTAGTTTTAAAAATAAATTTTTTAAGTCTTGTAACAATATCACCATCATTTCATTGAACTTTGTATTGATCGTCTTGATCACTTAAAAAATAAATATAAAAGTGAGTACTTTATACTATCACACATAAGCACATAAACTCACTTCACACATTACACACATTTTTAATATTATTCAAATCACGCATCAAATAAGCATAAAATAATACATTTCATTGTTTTATTCTAATTCACATACAGGTGCGTTCACTGCACCATCAAACAATCCACACACATGCGTTCACTGCACATAGTCACTCTTATTGTAGCACTATGATCACAGATTCTTAATGTCCTCAACTTCAGGGATTTATACAGTTTCACACCATAGATGATCGTCGGATAGCTCCCGCCTCACGGATACAACGTGTGCAGTCACAGGCCCCTTAACAAAGGTGTTATTCAGAGGTCGAGTTAGGAGAAGAGTTTGTGGCCTGTGGTGCACCCACGCTCACTGTTGGTGTTACTACCACCCTCTTTTTCTCAAGATATTTCTACCACTCCATCTTCTACACCACAGTGTATCGCTGTAACCATTCATAGTTTCCAACCAATCCAACACAATCACAATCAACATCAACATGCCCTTTCCACCCATTTTCAACTATTTCATATTATTTATCATCAATCAATGGCATGTCAACATATACATTCACCCACATTCTCAATCACATCATAATATTCACTTTCACACATGGCACGTATGCCCACATTCAATCACGTTATATTCCATACAATCTTTTTATCTCAATCTCACTACAATCAAGTCATTTTTATTAAAGCACACATCTTCCTATAGTTTATCTCAATCACATTCTACTATCTAGCAACACAAACAAAATCTAAACACAAAAGGATAGGGTAAAGTTCTCCCTTACTTCGGATTGAAGACCCAATACAAAACAATGGTAGAAAATGTTTCCCTACACGTTGCTTCATCCTAAATACATAGAAAATCTCTATGAGAATTTGAGAAAACGAAGAAAGGGACAAAAGACCAAAACCTTAGCTCTTAGAACTCACCTCCAAACACTCCAAACGTGATTTCAATATTCAATCTTGCTCCTAAACGGCTTTAGAGGCAGTTTAATCGATGAAATAGGGTTAAGAATTGAGAGAATTGAAAGAGAGATGAAAAGAAAATAGTGGGAATGTGTTTCCCAAACCCTAAACCCTTCAAATACCCTAAGAGTCGCGACACTCTCACTACAGTGAGGCTCCTTCTCACTGTAGCAAAAATTTCAGATGAATTTGTACTCTAGTTTCTACAGAATCTCACTACAGCAAGACTGCACCTAGAAAATACCCTCTTTGTTGCCCTCTCACAGCAGCAAAGAGCCTCTCACTACAGCGCACGCCTCTGCTCATGACCTTCTTTCTACAACGAGAATGCCCCTGCAGTACACTTCTAGCCTATTTCTCAACCAATTTCAAATACACCTAGCCATCAATCCACAATCATTATCCACAATTTTACTTATATACTCATCTACACATATTCATATCCATATGCATTTATCTATAGGTATTCCCACATATATACACATTCTCATCATCACATAATTCAAAACACACATCCAATCACAACACGTATACTTATATTAATAATCCAATATTAATACAAAATTTGGGGCGTTACATATTATCTCTTAATTTTTAATAATTAAGACCAAATTATGAATTTATTTTTTAAGATATTCTTATATGACTAAACTAACATTTTAGTCCCTGAGAGAGTTTGAGTTCAGCATTTTAGTCCCTAAGACATTTAAATATCACATTAGTCCATAACTTCCTTCTCTGTTATGCATTTTAGTCCCTGACGTTAGACCCCGTTAATAGACCGTCACAGAAGGCTGAGCTATCACGTTAAGTGCTACATCAACATCCCAGTTGGCAGCAACGACGTCATTTTGGAAGCTGGCGTGGCACAGATAAATGTGAAACGGTGTCGTTGTAATTGAAACCCTTTTGCCCAAATTGAATCAAACATTTTCTGATTATTGTCGAAGAATCCTACCCTAATTCCAGGCTCTCTCTCGCTCAAATTCTCATTCGTGGTTGTGTTTGGGAGTGAAAAATTTAAAGATTGAAGTTTGTTATTGTTGAAGAAGGGCTAACACATGGAGAATTTGGTAAAAAAAATTTTCTTAATTCATTGAGTCAATTTTTTGGTTTAGGGACGAAGAACCCTAACTGTTCAATATTTTCGGGACGACGAACCATAAGTGCTCATTGTTTTGGGGATGACGAAGCCTATCTGTTTTCTTTCTCCTTAATCAGTGTCAATGTGGTTATTGAAAAATGTTTTCTGTTTGTTATCGAGAGATGGTATGAAGTGGTCCTTGGTAGGCAGTGGTCCCCTTATATTTCCTACAACTTTTTAGTTTTTAAAATTAAAGAAGATAATGTTAATGAAAGTGATCCCTTTCTACATAGTTTAACCCATTTTCCTATGTAAGTGCATGAAAGTCATTGATAATTGTTTCTCTGTAAATGCAGTCAATTAAGTTTTAAATTCACCATAGAGGAAAATTTTTGGAAGAAAATGGAATTAAGAAGGAGTATAAGTGTGATAAAATTGAGGTTTGGGCTGATGTTGATGAAGATATGGTTGATATCTTTAGCTTCATAAACTTTGCCAAGGCAATGGGGTATTTCAGTAACATAAAAAATATATTCTGGTCTGACCCTGATAAAGAGTTTGATGAAGCTTTGAAATTATTAAAATATGATGCTGATGTGTTGGAAATGGTGGCTGTTGCTAAGAGGAATAGAAGGGAGATGCATGTCTATTATGAGCATGAGATTGGTAGACCATAATTGCTTGAAGACAGTGAAATTCTAATGTTGGAAAGCCCTGAAGGTGATATTGCAGCAATGGAAGAAGAAATTCAAGTTGAAGAAGCAACAATAGAAAAAGAAATTCAAGTTGAGCAACCAGCAATGGAAGAAGGTTTTAAAGTTGAACAACCAACAACAAAAGAAGTACAAGTTGCACAACCAGCAATGGAAGAAGTACAAGTTGAAGATGTAATAGTTGAAGAATTAGAAGTTGAAGTTGATAAGAAACAACAAAAGAAAAAGGCAAAAGGAAAGCAAATTGTAAAGGGAAAAGGAAAAGGTATCTCTAGTAAATCAGCTAGGGAAATAAGAAGAAAAAGTTTGTGAATTGGAGCCATGAAAGAAAACGTTCAATCTGCTACATCAGAGAAAAAATAGAAAAAAAAAGCATGGGAAAAGAAAAAGGAAAGGGAAAGAGCCAAAAAAAACTGAAGGAAAAGGTAAAGAAAAAATGACTTATATTGATAAAGAAGATTATTTACATCAGGAACTTTCTGAAAATACCATAGAAGATGTAAAAGAGGTGGGTCATAGGGAAACTCCAGAAAGAGAAGAGCATTCTAAAAATTCATGGAGATCTGAAAAATTAAGAACTCCAGCAAACTCATCAGATGAAGAGGATAGTAACAAACAAGTTTTTCCCAAATTTAATGAATCTGCAAAATTTGGAAATGTTTACTTGGAGCTAGGAATGGAGTTTGAAAGTTTACAATCTTTCAAAAAAGGTGTTAAGGATTATACAATTCAGATGGGAAGAGAAATAAGGTGGGTAAAAAATGACAAAGTAGAGCTAAGTGTAAATATAAAAACTGCAAGTGAAAAATATATTGTCTAAAAAACAATGTCACACATAGCTTCCAGATCAAGACTTTTCTCAGTGAGCACATTTGTGGCAGAGGTTTTAAAAACAAACAAGCAACACAAGATTGGGTTGTAGGTAAGCTTGTTATAAAACTAAGGAAACATCCCAATATGAAACATTCTGAAGCTGTTGAGTACTTTAAAAAGAAATTTGGTGTGCAGATAGAAGATACCAAAATATATAGGTCAATGGTTAAGGCAAGAGAGATTGTAGAGGGAAGTGAGAAAGAACAATTTGCAAAGTTGTGGGACTATTATGGAGAAATTTTGAGAAGTAATCTAGGTTCAACTATCAAAATGGAAACTGATCCTCAAGTTGAAGGTCCACCACAGTTTAAAAGATTGTATATATGTCTTGCTGGGTGCAAAACTGGCTTTAAGGCTGGATGTAGACCAATGATAGGGCTTGATGGTGCATTTTTAAAAGGTTATTACCGAGGACAATTGTTGATAGCAGTGGGACAAGATGGTAATAATCACATATGGGTAAATAGCCTATGCTGTTATGGATGTTGAAAATAAGGAGAATTGGCAATGGTTTTTATCACTTTTACATGAAGATATGGGAGATTATAGGCAACATGGTTGGAATTTCATATCTGACATGCAGAAGGTAAACATCTACGTAGGATATAATTCCTCATTACTTAGAATTGACAGGGATTGAATTGCATGAATAATAAATCAGTTAGGGACTAAATTGCATGTTTTTTATTCTAGCAAGGACTAAAGTGAACTTCATATTTTACTGTAGGGTTTGATTCCAGCTTTGCAAGAA